GGCAGGAAATTCTACTGGACAATTGGAAATGCTGACTTGACAATTCACTTGCCACTCAGGGATGAAGGCAGCCCACTTAGTAAAAAGCACTCTTAAGAAATCTCTTCTGTGCTGTGAGGCACAGTTCTTTGGGATACAACTCAAGGGTGTAATTCTCATGTGCATAAATTTTAACCAGAGAGTGAGGATCATAAAAGGAGTGAAAGAGAGATCTGGATGTGCAGACTGAAAATGCTCCTCTCGCCACGAGGCAACTATTCCATGGTGGGCAGGTGGGATTTCTAACGCCCCTGCTGGCCTTCAGGGTTTGCTCACTCTGCATCAGCGTGAGGTTTCTGTGTCTCATGGGGACAGATTAGGGGTGGTAGCACATCTCCAAGACGCTCTAAATGATCCCCAACCCCTGGTGTTCATGCCCTTGTACACACTGGAGAGAGTTGACTTGTGAAACTAAGGATATGAAGGAAATGGCCGCATGTGACTTCCGACGCTGCAGCACAGAGGACTTCCATCGTGCTTTCTTAGATCGCTCACTGTGGGGGAAGGTGGTCGCTGTGTTGTGAAGACTCTCAAGGAGCCCTGTGGAGAGGTTCACGTGTCAAGGGCCTGAGGCCTCCTACCACCAGCCTTGTAACTCAGCCACATTGGAAGCTGATCCACCAGCCCCAGTCAGGCCCTCATATGACTATTTCCTGGTCAAAACCTTGACTGCAACCTCACAAACAAAACTGAGCCAGAAACGTCCTTCTAGGTTGTGCCCATTCCTTGACTCACAGGACCTGTGGCATCATATATATTGTTCTAAGCTTCTAATCTTGGAGAAACACGATGTGAGGAAATAGATAATGAATACACCAAGGGAAGGACGTGGCGACGTGTAGAGGGTGTAGGCATTGGTGGGGTTAGGCCTTGATGCCTGCGCTCAGTGAAATGTGATGAGACCACCATGGGCTCCCTCGCTCTGCATGATTTCCATGGATCCCCTAATGGCTTTTCCTTGTAATCCATGGCTTCCTTATAAACATCCCACAGGAATTACTCATATCTTTTATGCCTTGTCCAGGTTCCTTGTGTAAATCTTTGAGTATAAATTAATCAAAGGACGTCGGCTTCTTCCACACATTGAGGTTTCAACATTGAATTCCTTATAACAAGGCACCTGACCCTCTTTATTGTCTTTTTCACTCCCTCCATCTTTATCAGATGTGAAGACTCATGTGGACAGACACTTTGTGTATTCCTTTGAAGAATAAGAAACCCCTGTGTACCTTTCTGCCCCTTAACTAGAAAACAGAGATATTGCTTTAACAAGAGGGGTCACCCAATGGAAAAGATGGGAAAAAAAAAACATATAGCAGGCCCTGATTCAGTAGAGCAGGGAGTGAAGTAAACTTCCCAAACTACATTTTAGAAGAGACTCTCATTTTTGGTCTCCCTAATCAGGTAGGGGACTTTGATAGAAAACGACCATAATAGAGGAGAAATGTAACATTTTAGAGCTCATCAGTGAACATGGCAGTGAAGACCCTCTTCAAGCTGGGAAAGCCAAGGAAGAGGAAGGAAGAGAGAGCCTGGGGTGCTGGCAATCCCACAAAGACAACAGTGAGTTTCCAGCTTGTGAATATCCAGGGGTCTGATGAAGTCAACTGAAGACGAATACTTTTATCATCAGATGACAAAGGCTGGTGCTGACCTGGGGACATCTCGACCTCTCTGTTCTCTCTGCCTCCTGCCTCAGCCACAGCGGCCTCTGTTTTCACCTTTCATATCCCTTAGGTCTGGTTTGTCCTCATCTCTTCATAACTATTTCTGAAATGGATGGAAGCATTTTTCCAAGCACAATGAGAGGCAGCCATTATGCTGATCTTTTAGGATCTTTTGCCCAGACAGTGCTGACTCATCCACCTGTGGTGTTGGAACGTTGAGGACAACATCTGTGGCAGGAGATGAGCCACCAACAAGCGTGGTGTGGCCTGACATTAAAAGCATCCAAGAAATGTGAGACCCAGAAATATGGGGGGTTTTGCCACTTCCCAGTACCGTGCGCTATTTGATGTCTCTGAATATTCAAACACTCTGCTACACCTTCTTAGAACCCTGCACCTTTTCTAGAAGTGTCGCTTGCTTTGTCTGTCCACCAGCAGGACCACCAGGCACCATTCCATTCGGACCCAGATGACAGGTGCTGCCCTGGTGAATGAGCTGCTCAAGTCTTTGTTCCCAAAGCTCTCTGCTTTCTCACCTCACTGCAGCCTTGGTCACACTGTATGGTAATCATATTTTCCACATCTCATTCGCCTTAAAATCTGGAGAGAACTCAGTTGAAAAGGATGCTTATTAATATCAATTACCATCAGACACTACAGGGTGTGGTCCACAGATATTTCTGGAACACTGGAATGACAGTGACCATGCTTTCAGGCCAACACCATTAGCATAGTTTACACTGAGAAACTGAAATTTGAGATCACGGGGCAGTAGGGGGCGCTGTGGGCTTTCTCCAGGTCTGCACTGTGGGTGTCCCCTGCTATGTAATCCCTCAGACTCTCCAGGGCAGGGCCCTGTGTTGGCTGATGGAGACTTAGCAGTGTGTCCTCTGTAGGCTGGGCAGGGTCTCTGCTCACAGGTGTGTGTAAGGTCCCAGCAGCTGCTTCCTCCCGAGTCACTCCCATGGGGGCAAACTCTGAGTCTCAGCCATCAACCCCCTCCTTGTAAAGAAGCACATGCAGTCCTATGCTGGTCTTCAGGATGGAACAGAGATCTCCAGTATGGGAGGCTAATTTACATGAATAGCCCCGCCTCACTGAGGCCACTGAAAGAGAGAAGAGGTGCCTGGGGGCAGCCTAGCTCCAGCCCAGGAGTCTCAGGAGGGCTGCCTTCACCATGGCCTGGACGCCTCTCCTCCTCGTGCTCCTGTCTCAGTGCACAGGTGGGGACATTCCTCAGAGACTCAGAGCAGCCCCGCCGTCTGTGGGAGCTGGCTTGGCTCACAGTCTCCAGCAGCTCAGTTCTGGTCTCTTCTCCAGTGTCCCCTCATTTCTTTGTCTGCAGGGTCCCTCTCCCAGCCTGTGCTGACTCAGCTGTCCTCCCTCTCTGCGTCTCTGGGAGCATCAGCCAGACTCACCTGCACCCTGAGCAGTGGCTTCAAAGTTGGTGATTTCTGGATACGTTGGTACCAGCAGAAGCCAGGGAACCCTCCCAGGTATCTTCTTACTTTCCACTCAGATTCAGACAAGCACCAGGGCTCCGGCGTTCCCAGCAGATTCTCTGGATCCAGCGATGCCTCAGCTAATGCTGGGCTTCTGCTCATCTCTGGGCTCCAGCACGAGGATGAGGCTGATTATTACTGTGCCACATATCACGGCAACTCAAAGGCTTTCACAGTGCTCCTGCCCCAGGGGAAAGCGAGACAAAAACCTCCCCACTGCTCAGCTGTGCTCACAAAGGTGGAAGGTTGTTCCACCTTCCCCAGCATTGAGTGGGCCCTCAGAACCGCACAGACAGAACCTCGCAGACATTCCTCAGTCCTAGGCCAGAGGCCCTGAGGCTGTGGCCACATCAAAGTCAGAAGGGACCTTGGCCCTCAGACCCTTACCCTCTTGTTGCCCCCGGTTTATTTCCAAGCTCCGGAAAGGCTTTAATCTCTGAGTCCTCACCTGTGAAAGGGAGATCAGGGCATCGTCTACTTCATGGGGTTGGGAGAGGATTAAATGAGGTCACAGACATGAAGTCATTACTGTGTGTGGCCCAGACCAGCTATCATGATCACTGACACCGAGGCGGGAAGCCCCATAAAAAGACAGGCAGGACCCCAAGCTGGGCCACTACTCCTCTGCCAGCACCATCCAGTTCCCTGGCCCAGAGGCTCTATCTCACTTTTTGCCTGTGAAACAGCTTACTTACACCTAAAATTCTATTGGTTCCCTGAGCTCACTCCTGATTGATGATTTCCTTCACTCCTGATTGGTCCACTTCCCTCACTCCTGATTGGTTAGTTCTCTCCCTCCTGATTGGTCCATTTCTACAAAGCTTGTTCTTAATTAGTCAACTTTCCTTATACCTCATTTACATATGATGTTGCAAAGTGTAAACTGGCAGCCTATAAAAGCTGGTGTAAACCTATAGAGGGAGTCCAGAGCTTGGAGTGTTAACTTCTCTGGGCCTGCAACCTGTTGGAGCTGAGTTCTCCAACTCTGTAAGTGCTGATGGTTTTTCGCCTGGATCCAGGTTGCTGTCACAACTAAGCTGTAACACATTTTTCTGCAACACCACCACTAACTCAGCCCAGTCTAGGACCAGATGCTCCAGAATGTTCTCTTCCTGTTCCTTTCCTCACTCCTGTGAAAGATTTTCACCTAGAATTTGCATCAAATCACTGATAGAAGCAAAGAATATGAAAATATTTTAAAACAAAGAATCAATTTACATAGAGGACTAGAGATTATACTGAAGTTTAATTAGAATGAATCCAAACATTTTCAAGTTCACAACTAATAAAAATAGTGTATAATTTTAAAATTATGTAAATTCAAAAGTAGTTCAATGTGTATATTATTCTAGTCCCAAAATTAACAGAAATATAAACTATTGACCCTATCTGTAGGAAAACAAAAATTCAGCAAGGAACACAAAAGAAAATTTGAACAAGGGGTAAAATATTTTCTTACATGAAAACACTGAGTAAAAATGTCAACAGTGAGTAGATAGGTTGTACAATCACTTTTATTATTTATATTATGTCTTGCACGTTTCCCCCTGAGAATGTGTGAGGGTGGGTGTAAACAGAATGCAGAGGTGACGGTGCAGATCCCTCAGAAGTCAGAAGGAGGGATGGGTAAGTGACAGATGCAGCTTACTGACTCCACACAGGGTAACTTCTTGAATGTAAGTCCTAACATAATTTCATTGTATTTTAAAAATTACATTTGGTGTGAATAATGATTGGTTATCATCTTGTATACAGAAAATCTTTTCAAACTTAATAACCACTTATTAAGTTCAACTGTAAGTTTAACTTAAAGGGAGCACCCACCCTCATTACTCAGGACTAAAGTGTGTTCTGGAATGTGGGAGTTTGAGTGATGAAACCAGGAACACCCAAGGCAAACAAGGATCCATTATAATATTTGCCATATTTTAATGGATCATTATGTACTAGGTCTTCAAAATGTTGTTTCAGAAATTTCACTTCTGGATGGTGGAATAATTTACTTGCTGAGAATTATAAGGTAGGTGGCATATTGCAAGTTACAATGAGTAAATTATAATTACAAATTACATAATCATCTTTTATACAGCATCAGGAAGCTGCCAGTATAACGAGAACTGAATTGGGCCAGTATTCTTTTGTTTGCTCGTTTGTTTGTTTTTAATATATTTTTACTGAAGTACAGTCAGTTTGCAGTGTTGTGTCAATTTCTGGTGCACAGCACAACACTTCAGTCACATGGAACATATACATATTTGTTTTCATATTCTTTTTTGCCATAGGTTACAACAAGATATTGAATATATTTCCCTGTGCTCTGCAGTGTAAACTTGTATTCTCGAGGGGGTCATTTGTGCTAATCTCTGCAGGTGGCCGTATACTGTGAGAATTTCCTGAATAAAAACTTCACACCATCTGAGAGCCACTGTCCAGGTCTGAGAAAAATAGCAGACATGTGGTAGATCTGATGGATTATGGAAGCCAAATAAGTAACTAGATGAGACCTTAGGCATTTATTTAAGAAAATGTGTAGGATGCCTGCGTTTTAACCTGCCAGGGTGGAGAGACCCAGTAAAATATATGAACTAAACCAGTAATAGAGCTAAACTATTCATTTAGTAGCTCTCATTCATTTCTGGCAGAGATGGAAAATGGTGTCGGCCACGGTGGAAGGCAGGCTAGCAGATTCTTAGAATGCTAAGCATCCTCTTGCTGTGTGACCCAGCAACTGAATTAAGTACTTATCCATGTGAATTGAAGAGGTGTGTACACATAAGGACCTGCACACAAATGTTTACAGCAGCTTTGTTCATCATTCTTGTAATCTGGAATCAAGCAAAATGGCCTTTCGTAGGTGAATGGATAAACAAAGTGTGGTTCGACCACCCAGTGGAACATTACTCAGTGATGAAAAATCAATGAGCTCTTGGGCCACAGAAAGCTAGTGGGATACAAAAAGTGAATGCACATGACTGAGTGATAGAAGCCAAATCTTTAAAAAGTAAACTACAATTACTGTATGATTCCCACAATATGATATTGTGAAAAGGCAAAACTCTAGAGACAGTACAATGACCAGTGGTCGCCTGGAGTTCAGGCATAGGAAAAGAGGGCTGAGTAGGTGGAGCAAAATGGATGTTTAGGGGAGTGAAAGTACTCTGTACGTTACTAGGATGGTAGGTAGATGACATTATGCATCTGGTAAAACCCACAGAGCTGGGCAACCACAAGAGCGAACGCTGATGTAAACTATGGGCTTTGGTTAATAATAATGCCCCAGCATTTAGTTTATCAATAGTGGTTTATACAGTTTTACCAAATGCCCAAAACCCATGCAGGATGTTAAAATGATAGAACTTCTTGGGGTCCTGGGGGGCGTGTGGGAACTCTCTGTAGCAATGGATTTTTATCTGAAGGAATTCTACATCTCTTCCTAATTAATACAAAACCAAAATTATGTCAGCTGTGTATTTACAGCTCTAACTCTGCTTGTGGTTAGCAGCCCCTGAAGAGGGGAAAACTAAGGAGTGGGACACGAGCCCCCCAGGGGGAAGGTGCCTGCATGGGTGTGAGGCTGGGGGTGGGTGGGGAGTTG